CTATTATTTTGCCTGAGAAGAAAACAAAAAAAAACTTCATACATATAACATACATCATTTAAAACAATTATTATTTTTTTCCCTCAAAACTGGAAGTATTTCATTTTGTTGACTCTTATGCTACTAAAATAGCACAAGCTAATGCCCTTGGGCGTATTAGCCAGGTTCAGAGTTAATGCAAATTTATATGCAGCACTATATTGCATTATCTGGATATTAAAAGGCATAATGTGTCAAAATTATACTATCAAAACTACTTGTTTTTTATACTACAGAAGCATTTCAGTAATTTGTGCATATTTTCATTCTACACTGAGATGTTACAGGGAAGTATTTTACTTTTATCTAATCACATTAAAAAAAAAAAAAATTCTTCCATCTGAGTTCCACCAGAAGAAAATTAAATTCCTTTATATTTCATTACTGGGTCATACCATACTCTTGGGCATCAAAATGGTTTCTGTTCAAGGGAAATTGAGCAGAATAATTACAGCATACTAAATAATTCAGGGCTCAGTGGTTTGTCTGTGGTATGAGTTTATGAGTTCTACGTAATATCAAGAGTAAAACAAATTGCAGCTCATGACACATAACAAGAAGCTGATCAATTGGTAATTTTTTTGCTATACTTCTGGGCTTTTACTTACTTAAAAATAAGTATCACTACATTTAAGAGTTTTAAGAGGTTTTTTTTAGTTAACCTTTGGAATACCCTTAATTAAGGTTTCTTCACAATATGAATTTATCTCTTGCAAATATGTGTTACGTTAGTAATTTTAATCTCGTAATAACACACAATTTTCCTATGCAGAAAATTTTATCTTCACTGCTGGTATTAGTTAACATTAAATAAAATTATTAATTTCTTTTTGAGCCTTTGAAATCCTATGCTATTTACTTTTAAAAATATTATGAAATGTGCATACATCTCCATTAGGTAAAAAAACTGAAAGTGTAGAGAGCAAAAATACTGAAAGTGGATTTAGGTCTCCTAACTTGAGGGGCTAGACTGGCTACCTAAACTGAGGCATGTAAGTGCCACTTGGGATGCATGAGACTGGAAACTCCGAAGCTCAGCACCTTCTACACGGGCACCTAAAGGTCAGGCATTTATTGCCAAGGCATCTACAATAGCACTAGATCCCTAATCATGGCCAACTGATTCAAGACCAAGGTACAGATAATGTGTATAAGCCACATTCTTACCCTGCTGTTACAGTTAATTTGAGACCTTGACAGGAGAGTCAAGTAAGCAATTCAACTCACCCCAAATTAGACATCAGCATTTGGTCAGATGAACGACTCTGAATTCCCTTAGTCATACGAAGTTTTCTTTGGTGCAAGCTCCCATTACAACCAACATAGACAGCCATCTACCTCACAAATACTCATGAGCTAAATCTGACTTAGAAAAATTAGTCAAATGTGTCTGACAATTTTTAAGGGTTCAATTTTTCACCATTCCATTTAGCATAACATACAAAGCACTGCTCCTCATGTCTTAAACTATAGTCATTTGAGTAACCAGCCAAAAAACTAGACTTCTGTCTTCCTGTAGATGTACACCTATATGGGATTCAACATATACAGATACGTCCATTGCACCTTACAGGTAAGGAACACTACTGAATCAATAAAAAATTATGAGCCTACTGCCACTGACGTAGTACACTTCACACTTGCAAGTGGCCACGGTTAATAATTGATAAAAAGTACACTCTGTACCTGCAGGTGGTTATAGACAATAGTTAGCATACATCAAATTGACAACCTGGCAAAGTGACTATTCAATTAAGCAACATGGCAATGAAACTAACTTTTGAAGCGTCCTGAAGTGAACTCTTTGTTAGAATACTAAAAAACACATCCCCAGGTCAGAACGACCCCTGACCATGTTAAAGACCCTTCCCCTGAGCATGTGTAGTGACAAAAGCCTTACATAATCTCTATTATAAATGTATTATAATCACTGACCAATCAGTATCTAATTGGCACGTTTGGAAAAGTACTAACCTGTGACTTTTGTGTATAAAAGCAGCACCTGAACCTGCTGTTAGGTGTGTTTGATTTGTGGAAGATCCACCGAGCACCCAGACCTGAATAAAACACAGTATCTCTCCTGAACATGTTAAGACTGGTTTATTGCATGCCGGGCACAAATCTGCTTTTCGGGTAACACCACTATCACCTTTAAAGAGCCATGAAATCTACCTGCAATCTAGTTTTGCACTATTGAATTTGCTTGAATTTGTTTCCAATGGATTCAGACAGCATGCATATAACAACACTGTGTCTGTATATTCTTAATCTAATCAGGCCTCAGTCTTAGTGGTAAAACAGAAAACAGTAGTAGAGCCAGCTGAGAACACAACTCAACTCTTCAAGTGTCTGTCCTCCTCCATTCCTTTGGGGCAAAGCCAAATGAGTTAGCCTAGATTAAAAACTTTATCATAAAAATTAGTCAAAACCATACAGTTTCGAGCTAAACTGATTGTCTCTGCAGCTGGAGATGACAAACAAAGACCACTCATAATTTAACACAGTTTGACAATACGATGACCTAAGGGAGAGATGTCCCAGTAGTAAGGAGCATTCTTAGTACTGAGAAGCAGTGTCAGAAGCTGTTGCCTGACACTTCTCAACATGTTTGTTGCTGACTCTGCCCACCTTTTTCCCCGATCCTCTCATTCAAGTCTCAGTGTGTACAGGACCACAGGAAAGACAGTTCATATGACTTCAAGGTTTTAAGGCAAGAGCCAAAAAGTTTTTTCAAATTACATGAAGAAATGAGCATGAATCTGAGCTCTGGCTTGAGTCAAATGGCCAGAAATTAAATTTCCATTAGTCCTTGTGTTCCTCAGATTCAAGGGCAGAAAAAAACCATAATAAACTGAACTTTTCCTGTCAGGATTAGTGGGGGATTTGTACTAAATCAACTTTCAAAAGCTCTGGTTGAATCAAGCTTTTTCTCTCAGCAATGAAGCACCAATTCTGTGACTGCATGATGTGGAACATATGCCAAAACGCCTGAGGAATAAATGATCTACTGTTTCCATTATTACCCTTCTGTAGCCTTTTTTTTCAAACACTGCGAAAGGCCATGTGCACTGTGATTTAGAGTGATTTACAAATTTTTGAGTTTGTAAAACAGTAATCTGCATCATATTTACTGTGGAGGGAAAAGTCTTCTTGTAATAACGTGGTAATTTGAGGAATCTATTTCCAGCTTTTCAATTACATCTCTGGAGTTCTTTATTAGTTCCTTGTTTTCGTACTCACTATTGGGTAACAGGAGAGCAACAGTGCATGTGATATGCTGCAACCTTGTTGTCATCCTCCTCTGGTGAGAGGGCAGGTTCCGCCTTTAATGAGTCATCTGTGCTGTGGTTTAATCAGCATGCAGACCTCCTGGGTTTGCCAGAATCAATACATTCCTCAGTCTCATCACCTGGAAGCTGCATTCTTCATCATCAGTACAGATCATCCTTCCAGCTCTGTTGCAGCTGTTGCTTCCTCGCCCATAAACATTTCCATACACACTTCACTGATACCCATTTTCTTGCTTTTATCACAAGGCTCTAAAAGAGGCTAAGGAGACCCTTAGGCATAAAGAGGAGGACTTGGGCCAAAGACTGAAAGAAGCTGACCAGAGTTTCTTGCTGAGGCGACCTGGGTCATTTAAGAAAACCACCAAAGTTAGGCAAAGCAACCTTTGCAGGAAAAATGCCATGGTTCAAAATAATGGTTACATTTTTTAAGGAGGACCCTGGACAAATTTAGACCATTTGCTTAATGTATGAAATGTTTAAACCATAACCCTCACATGCATTTCCAATATTTGAACATTTTAAATTGCTATATGCAAACTGCCTCTGCCCTAGAAAGAAAAGCTATATAGTACAGAATGGATTACAGGCTTAAAGAGTGACTGATATTCAGAGCAGGAGAGAAAAGAAGACTAAAAAAGGAAGAAAAAAAGAGAAGCTGTAGAGTGGTAGCAAAAGAGAATGGCTGGAGGTTTAGCGGAACAGAAGATACGGCCAATATGCTAGATGCAGGCTGGATAAATGGGATATCGGGTAAGAGTTTTAGTGATGCAAAAGTCTATCAGGACTGTTACAGAGTGTGGAAGCCCAAGCAGTGGCCAGAAGACACGCAAAGCATAAGTTGTGAGACATTGTCTGGATGTGGTAAGGGAAGATTCTAGAAAGAACTAAGTGATGAGTTGCTTTTACAGTTCAGGCTTTGCTGATCTCTTCAGGGCTTCTGCAAACACCTGTGCTAGACAATCTCAAGAAGGATAGCATATCCTTTCAGATATGGGATTCCCTCCACACTACACATAAAATTCAAGGTGAGTCTGGAAGAAGTATCCTCTGGTATACAGATTTCTTTGTCCAGAAAAGAAAGACATCCCTCACTGACTCCAAAGTACACAAATGACATAGCAGGCTGGCTTGGTACCTGAAGAAGACCATGGAAACAAGGGCTGCACTGTCAGCTTTCAGAGCTCACAATTAAGATGTACCATTTTGGGGAGGAAAACGATTTGAATATCAAGCGACAATTGGATGGATGAGAATTACATTCGGGCAGATACTGATGTAACACTCTGAAGCACTAGCCCGATACATGAAGCAAACAGCAGGACTGGGTATGGAACATGAGGTTAATCTGGTATGGTATTGGCAACAGGCAGATAGAGGAGTTCATACTGTAAACTACCAGTACTTTCAGTCTTATGACCTTAGAAAATTCAAAATTATTCAAAGGCACATTCATATCCTGTAAAAAAAAAAAAAAAAAACAAAACACAAACCTTTACTATAGGCTACAGATTTAAATAAAGTACCTTCAGACTGTCACTGCACTAGAATAATGAATCCAAATTGCTTGTGGCCAACACAAGGGCAGAAAACATGTCACTCATCAGACAACCTCAGCTTCTCATGGTCCACATGACTCATGGAATAAAGACTCCACAACCTTTAAGGTTGTAAAGTAGGTATGTTTATTCGGTACCTGGGGGATCCTCCACCACAAACATGCACACCCATATGACCCGGGGCTACCTCCCTTATGCTCCGAATGATACATATGCATAAGATGCTTATACATATTCATAGACTCTCTGAGAAATCATTTCCATATGCCTCGCCTTCGTCTCTTCTCTTCGCACCTGCGCAGTTCTTCCTGGTGGTCGTGGGCCGGGGTATCAAGGATGAAGTAAGGCTCCCTCTTCTTCATAAACTTCTCAACTTTTGTCTCTGGCGCATGCCCTCTGGGCCCCTGGTGCCACACTGCCCCAGCTACAACTCTGGCTTGTGCTCTCTGGGTCCCTCGTGCCAGATTTCCCCAGCTACAACTTTGGCACCAGCCCTCTGAGCCCTTGGCGCCTGTCCAACCCACAGAACCAGCCCCCATGTTATCAGAGAACAGCATGTCTTAACGAACAAAGGGCATGTTTTAACAAACCATCGGCATGTCTTAACAAATAATCAGCATGTCTTAACAAACAAAGGGCATGTTTTAACAAACAATCTTAGCAAACAAATGGCATGTCAAACGGCATGTCTCAACCCCCAGGTGCTAGTTTCTCTCCATCACAGGTAACTCCAGACTCAGCTGCACTAAAACACATGAACACCAAGTTACGTGTCTCACCAAGGGCAATGGCAGGCAGTGGATGCCTTCGGATGGCAGGGAGCCATGAGTGTGTCAAAGTGCTTGGGGTCACAGACCTCACCTGCAGCAGGACCAGAAGCATGCCCAGGTGTCGCTGCTTTATGCCAGCCATGTCCCCTCCGCACGAAGAAGACATTCGCGTGGTACACTGACCCACAGCCTCGGCCCAGCCCCCAGCTTCCAGGCAGACTGGACCAGTCCCGAAGAGTACTGCCCGTATCCGGGCTGGTTGCAACGCCGGTCCCGGTCCCAAACTGCTCCTGAGGCCCAGAAGCTGCGTGACCGCGGGCAGCCCAGGCGCCGCCCTAGGGCGACGGGGCCTCGACGCCGAAGCCTGCTCGACGCCTCAGAGCGGAGCCGAGCCCCAGGCACCAGCGGTGATAACTGGCTTCCCGGGGCCGAACTGCTACGGCCGCTCTGACAGCCCGGCGGGCAGCAGCTGCCCGCGGCGGCCCGTCCCACCGCCCTCCCAGGGACAGGGACCGGGCCCCGGCCCTCGCTCCGCCGCCGCCCGCCGCGGCGAGGGCTGCGCTGGGGCGAGGCTTCCAGCGCTCGGCCGCCGCTTCACCCAGGAGCCAACCTCTCGGGCTCCCGCCGCCGGGGGTCGGGTGAGGTAGGAAAGAAAAAAAAGCCTCACGCAACCGGCTCCGGGAGCAGCCGCCGCCGCCCCGCCAGCAGCTCGGCGCTGTCCGTGAGTCCCGGTGGGCGGGGGAAGCTCTCGCCTCAGCCATCGGTGGTGACGCCGGGAGCTCACGGCCCTGCCGGCCCTCGCCTCTGCCGCCGGGGCGCGGCGTGCCGTCCCGCAGGTGCGGGGCCCGGCGCAGCGGGGGGAGGCTGAGGCGGGCGGGCGGCTCCGGGCGGCGGGGCCGAGCTGTGCGGCTGGCGGTCGCCGTCGGCTGCGCGGCTCCCCCCGCCCTGCTGCCGCCTGACCGGGAGTTGGTGCGGGCTTCCCAGGGCGTCGGCGCACCTCCCCGGTGGAGGAGAGGGCGGGAAACGCCTCAGCCTCCACCAGCTTTCTCCTCAGACGCCGCACCCTACCTGGCTGCTCCCCGCGTCCCGACTCCGTGTCGCCTGGCCGTAGGGAGATGAGTGGCAGGGACGACCTTTATCCACTCCCAATGCTGCCCTCCTGGCTACCGGCCGCTGCCGCCGGGATTGTCTCCTTGCACCTTATCCAGAAACTCCTCTTCCCCTACTTCTGGGCTGACCTGAGATACCTGGTGAAAGTACTGATGCATGGGCTGAGAGTGGAGGTGTACCGGCTGCAAGGGAGGATTGTCACCACGCTGGACAAGTTTGTGAAGCTGTCTGAGATGCAGCCCCACAAGCCATTCCTCATCTACGAAGGGAAGGTGCACACCTACCGGGATGTGGACAGAAGGAGTAACAGGATAGCACAGGTCTTCCTACACCATGGAACTCTGAAGAAGGGCGACACGGTGGCCTTGCTGATGGGCAACGAGCCAGACTTCATCCATGTGTGGTTCGGGCTGGCCAAGCTGGGCTGCGTGGTGGCTTTCCTCAACTTCAATGTCCGCTCCAGGTCTCTGCTGCACTGTGTCAGTAGCTGTGAGCCCAAGATACTTGTTGTGGGAGCAGGTAGAGTATACACCTGATTCATACATCCAAAGCTTTTAATGTCACATCTCCCCTGTGCACATCTCTCCAGCTTCTTTATTGAAAACCTAATTTTCAGATGTTCACAGAATAAAGGAAACCTTGGGCTAGAAGGAAGGGACTTGGAGAAATCATAAAAGTTAAGCCTCTCCGGCAAAATTAAGTATATCTTGGCTTTGGAGACATCAGTTTAACCTTCTCTTTAAAAATGTGCATTGCAGGAAAGTTTGCAGTATCTAACATGTAATCACTCCAGTAGTTGCTTAATGTGTCTCAGAAAAGATTAAAATTATCTATTAAGAATAATTTCCTGTTCCTGTTTTAGATAGTCAGTTTTAACCTCACTTATGTACTTTCCTCTCCTCTAGTATCTCCCCATCTTTCTAGGGATCAAAATAACTGCAAACTAGAACATCTAAGCTCAGACTGGAAAACCTCTGCTGTACAGCTGTTCACAGAGGTACAATAGTCTTCCAGGGACTAAAATCGAGAGGCTTTTTTTACACAGGTGTAGCACATAGCAGGTTGATTTGTAATAACCAACTTAGTGTTGCTGTTGGATTGTAGAAGATACTGCTGTATTTGAATAGCCAATAATTGCGTTGTGTATGTTTCCAAAGTATTACATTTTATTAAGTGCTTCAAAAGAACTTAAAATCTTGATGTAGGCATACTGTGAATTTTATATCCAAATTTGGCTTCAAGTATAGAGATGTATAAACTGAAGACAGATCCAAAACCTAAGCTTGCCTCAGCATTTATGATCAAGTGCAAGTGAACCTGCAATGCTGAAAGATCATACCGAACCTTGACATTTGGTTAGAGGAGGACATTTCAAAATATTAAATATTAATGTTGTCCTGCCTCTCTCAAATTATTATTTCAAGTCTACTCTGCCTTATTCCTGTTATACAGGTTGTGGGGTTTTACATCCATGACACCTAAATGGTGGAATTTCCTTCCATCTGTTACCTGCTGCTGCAAATTTGTGCTTCCAAAAATGTGTTTAAGACTTTTCCCTTTCATATTTTCTGATTATAAATTTTGTCATTCTGATTGCATATGGTATGCTGGTTTAAGAATGCTTAGTAATTAAAACAGGCTAATGAAACAAAAGCCAATTTAAATATAACACCAAAACACATGATGACAATGCCTCTGAACTAACAGTTTTTAATTTTGCCTTCTTATTTACCTAATAAAAAAAAAAATCTCATTTAACACCCTCTCATGAATGTGTGCTTTTGAGTTTATGGAATGAGGAATGGAATTAACGTGCAGGAAATTCTTTCTGCATTGACTGTGGTGACAGAGAACTTTGAATCAAAACTTGTATCTAAGAATAGTCTTTATTAAAGTGAGAGGTTAACTAATCAATGAAAAAAACCTTTCCAAAGCAGGAACAGGGTCCCTGTTTCTTCACTCTGAATTTGTTACCAGCAGGTGATAGTGAGAGTGACTGCGTTGAACTAACTTGTTCCATGAGTCTGCTCACAAAAGAAGATCTATGTGCAGACAGATAATACAGCAGAGATGCCAACAAATTAGTCTCTGAGCTGGTCTTTTATGTGTTGGTCTTCTTACTTTATTCATGGGTTTCAGTCTTCGCATTAAGTTTGTGAGTCCCTTGAGCCTGCAAGGCTTCACAGTGTTCTTATTTGGGACTTAGGGGGTTTTTTGTAGCTGTATCTGTGAAAGAAGCTGAAGTTCTTTTTGCAAAATATTTACACTAAAAACAATCAACCCGTGGACAAGTATCTGTCATTGTCATTGCCAGGCATCATGTTTGGCAGCTAGCACTGTTTTTTTTTTAATCAGGGTTTAGTATGTAATGATATTATTTCTGGATAGTGGAAATTATGATTTTCAAAAATATGCAGGTTTTTCACCCTCCACAAACAAATATGGGCTTGACTAAGCAAATTAGTTTCTTGTAACAGTTGCAAAACTTACCTTTTTAATATTTTGAATGACCTTCAGTCTTGTTCATATGCTGCAGCACAGCAGAAGTCATTCCCTGAACAGTTGACCATTAACTGTGTGTGCTCGGCAAGACAAAATTTGCTCTTGAAATTCATGTCTGTAATGGCACATTAAATCAGGAACCTGTATTCAAATGCACATAACATTAAGGTTTCATTTGTGCTGAAGGGAACCTGCCACCTTCTGCTGATATCTGGAACAGTTACCACAGATAACTGTTTATTGCTAAACCTTCCCTGCTCAGAATGGTGTTGTAGCCTTCCTCTGTGTGAGATAATTGCATCCTGCAGCTTCTTTGGGTACATCTTGTAATTTTTCCAGAATGCTTTTGTTTTTTTCCGAATGTGATACCTCTATCCAGACAGACTGGGTGGTATTTATGGTTGCATTTTCTTCCACACCTTGTTCAGCCTTTCATGCTGCCTCTTGCAAGATCCCTCTAATTTGTGAAATTTGTACTCAATAGAATTTTGGTTTATGAATGTGTATTTTTCAGAGGTTGTGATTTGGTAACCCGGTCCACTTAGTATCATCTTGTCTTTCCTTCAGTATTTGCAGTCAGACTTTGTTCTCATCTGACAGTTCTCTGATATTTTGATTGCTTTTTCTAACTTCAGATGTGAGTCTTCCAATAGCACTGAAGTTTGGGGGGTTTGATTTTGATTTACGTATTCTATGAAATCTCTGCAATTGAATGCTTTATTCTTAAGCCTCAGATATGTTGTGAAAACTTCAAAATTGTTCCCTTGTTGGTTTCTTACATGAAATGGCTATCTCTAAAAGGTTGAAATACTCTCTGCAATTGAATGCTTTATTCTTAAGCCTCAGATATGTTGTGAAAACTTCAAAATTGTTCCCTTGTTGGTTTCTTACATGAAATGGCTATCTCTAAAAGGTTGAAATACTCTCTGCAATTGAATGCTTTATTCTTAAGCCTCAGATATGTTGTGAAAACTTCAAAATTGTTCCCTTGTTGGTTTCTTACATGAAATGGCTATCTCTAAAAGGTTGAAATACTCTCTGCAATTGAATGCTTTATTCTTAAGCCTCAGATATGTTGTGAAAACTTCAAAATTGTTCCCTTGTTGGTTTCTTACATGAAATGGCTATCTCTAAAAGGTTGGGTTTTTTTTTCGATGACAACAATGTTCTTTTAATTCATTTAACACAATCCAGTAACTTGCTTTTTAACTTCTCATCCAGCCACAGGCTGTCAGGCAAATATAGATACTTTCATTTGTCAATATTTAGCCTTTGCTTTCCTTTCCAGTATTTCCACTTACCTTTGAGGCAGAGAGAGAGTTTTTGCTTTAACTACTTTTCATTTGTCTGCTGTGTTCCCAGAGCATTCAGCTCTTGCTTCAATTTGTTATGCAATATTCTCACACTTCCATTCCCAGAAACACTACCACCACTCCCATTCTGGGGAATGTTTGTTGAAAGAGATTCAAAAGTTGGAGTTTAAAATTGCTGTTTTAATAATATAGCATTTAACAAATATATAAGTAAATGAAGAACTTGTAAAGGAGAAAAAAGGAAGCTGTATGCCCTTCTCTCTATCAGACTGCCAGCATTAGCTTACTCTAACAGCAATCTGACCTGTTTAAAAGGTATTCATTCATATTACATTTGTTACCAGATGATGCCACCCCTACTGGTTTAAAACTAGTGGTTAAACAGAGTAGTAAGGCACTGCTTAAAATGAAGGCATCTTTTGAGGCACTTTTGTAGGGAGTATTTCTATTCATTGGAGTCTTGCTTGAACATTTTATCTTTTGGACAGTAGCTGTGTAACATCAATACTATTAAACAATATTTACAATCTAGTGACCCACCAGAATGGTACAAATGGAATTTACCAGTGCATTTATAGTCTGCTGCTACTCAGAATCTTTCAACTCTTAGTAGGTCATCGCAGATTACCATCTTGTCTTCTGATGTAAGGATTCAACTGTGAAAGGACTGCATGACTAAACTCCGTAAGATTGGTTTACATCAGACCTGATAGCAAAGACTATTAAGGGACTGCACGTGCTGCATAGACATGTATGGGCAGCCTGCTCTACATGGGCTTGCTTGAGCAGGGATGTTGGACCAAGATGACCTCCAGAGATGCCTTCCAACCAAAATCATTCTGTGATTCTGCAATTTTATACAGACTTGCATCTCCCAGCTGTGCAAGTATAGCATTTACCTGTCCAGAATTCTTTACTTCTGAGGCACCATCAGTGCTTTCTGCTTCTGCTGAGTGTATTCTGAACTTCCTGCCTTCAGAGCTCAGAACCAGGGTTTATGCTGGCAGAAGTAACATTCAGACAGAAGTGTGTCTACATCCTGGAAAAAGAGAGTAAAAAAAGTCTTTTTTGGTATTTGTGAATTAAGGTCATATGGTGCTATATACAAGTAGCAGTATCAGCTCTCATATGTTAGTCACTGAATGAAAAAAATGAATTTTATCAAAACCGTATTTTCTTAACTATTTAGAATAAAAACCTATTTAGACCTAAATATTTAGAACGAGGAAACCCTGCAGAAGATGCTCTTATCTTCTCTGTTGGACACCTTATCTCTTGGATCACTTGCTTTTACTTAGTCTGTGTCTCTGTCCCAGATGGCCTTTGAGTGGAAAACAGTGCCAACTGTGATTTCCAAGCCAGTTTCAGTTTTACTACCTTTACCACCTTTACTACAGAAATTATTAGTACTTGGTGAAAATAAATGCTGAGTGTAAGGAGTCACTTGGGGAATCAAGTACAAGTAACAATTATTTTCTGAGGCCAGACAGTGTGGGAAAGAGTTTGGGCTTGCCATAGTTTACTGAGCATATCAGCCAGGGTACTCATCAAAGTTATGTAAGAACCATTTAATACAGTTTTCCTTCCGAGTAAGAGTAACGTTCTGTTCAGTACAAGTTGATCTCATAAACTGATGTATTCCTTTCATCAGTGTAGGACTGTGACCTTGCCAACAAGCCACATTGTTTCTTTGCTGGAAATAACATGAAAAACCTTTTGTGCAACTTGAAGCCTAGGACAGTAGTTCAAAACCAAAACCTATTTTCCTTGCTTTCTCAAAAGATGTAGCTGAGTTATGTATTTATGGGAATTTAATGTAACAGTTTTAGAAACTTTTAGTAAGCTGGGGGGGGGGGAGGGGGGAAGTCAAAAAACAGTAGAGAAGCATATTCATCTTGACCAATGACAGATACTTTTTTTTTCCCAATAGAAGCCAATTAGTTAGCAAATGGTGAATATTCATGTACAAACTATGTAAACAATGCACACAGAACTGCTTACTACATTGCCAAACTTTAGATAAGCAGTCATTTCTTCCAAAACAAATAGACCAAAACGTGAATATACTTTCACAGTGCAAAAAGCAAACAAGTACTTGAGAGAAACCACAAGCTTAAATAGCTAAATTGCTTTCCTATAATTGCTTTCCTATATGGTAAAGTACACGTAGCAGGTAACTCTAGAAATAATCAAACTATAGTTCCTCCAAGAGGGCTGTTTTTTCCTGACACATGGGCAAGATGGTATATAAACCAAAGAGGCCTAAACAACATCTGGCACAGAAGTTCATTGTACAGGGAACAAAACGTTGGTTGACTATCATCAAGATTATTCTTTGGAAATATGTTAGTACAACTGAAAGTTATCTTTAAACACTCCATGCTCCTGTGTGTTCCAGAAGTAATTTTCATTTTCTGGCACACTGAATACAGCTGGTTTAAATTACCCTTTCTTATTCAGGAAATCACTTACTGTTTCTGCTGTTTTCTCCTATCTAACTAGAAATTTCTTTCAAGATAATATATAATTACAAGCTGTTCACATAATGTGCCAAGTACTAGATTCCTGAGCACAGAAGACAAATTCTATTATATAATCAATTAATAGTTAAATAGTAGTTAAAAAACCAAGCAAGCCTCTGCACAACAACAAAAGCCATAGGTTTTATGAGTAGGTGTTTAGAGGAACAATAAAAAGTGTGTATGTTTAATTTGAAGATTGATCTTAATTATTTAGAGTAAATATATTTTTTTCATTCTACTTAAAAGGAGTTATGCCCTCCTGTGACTCTCGAAGCTTAAATTATTGCATCTGTAGAGTTTAAATTAATGGTTGCCACCTTTCTTCCTTTGAAGGAAGGAAAGAAAAGAGGTAAGTCCTCTTCTTTTTGACAGACTTACACTTCATGCTACTCAAATATCCAAAGAACTTGGTGAACTTTTTATCTAGAACTTCTGAATCCTAAAAAATTAGAAATATTTGTGAATTACTTTGTCATGCAGTCCTAAACAGAAATGTCTTCTGTAGAGAAGTTAAGAGTTGGCATGTAATATAACTTCATCTTCAGTTTCAAAAATATAAAAAGCAAAATAATTTAGGGAAATTCAAGAAGGAATTAATCTATCTATAGAAAATAAGGAAATGCCAAAATGATCCTTTTGGTATCTGCAGTACTTTAAAAGGGTAGTACTGACTGAGGGTTTCAGGCCTTTTACAAGAGGATAGTTTTCAATTAAACAATACGTGAAATTTCATTTAAAATTACAGTGTAATTATACAGGATAATTTTGCATGATGACTTTTATTGGGCAGTTTTTCTCAATATTTCTACATCCCATTTGTTATCTGGTAATGACACTACACACAGAATGGACAACTAATAAAGAGACATATATGTATATATATGCATAATTGGAAGACAAAAATCAGTATTAGAAGGTAATAAGTAATTATTCTGTCACACTTGCTTTATTAATAGCTGGTTTTTATTAGAAATAATACAGTTGTATTTTCATATTTATTACTTGAAAAAATATACCATCATTTTATAACACAACAGCAAAACAGAATTAATATGCCAATAAACCTTGACTTTCAGTGCCCCAGGTTTCCTGCAGTTAACACTATTGTCCTTAGCATTATTTTTTGTTCACATTTTTTCATCTGAAGGAGACTGTACTCCAGTGATTCAAACAGAAGGCTATCTATCTTCTTGATTTTCATAATTACAGTGATTCCTTCCTGAAATCATTCTTTGGTGCAAGGAAGTTAGAACACAAACATTTTAATGTTACGCTCCATCAGATCTATTTGCTAAACACTCATTAAATATATAGAAAATGTACTCTGTAGGCTTTAGGTTTGTAAGACACATGTTTAGTTTGTAACGGTAGGCTATACCTCTGTTGTAGCGATTAGTATATCATTCATTAAAATATATACAGTCTGTCATTAGAAAGTAGTTTTCTGAAAGATTAAAAATCTTCAGTTATTTTGGTGTAAAATTTGTGCAAGGAGGTTCTATTAATGGTATCCATATTTAATATATATGGAATGAGCCTGGAGTTAACATCAGGATTTCAAATGCTGGCTCTGGCAATGCCTCATTATGAGGTTCTGGGTGAGTCATGTCAACTTTGTTTGTTTATTCATCTGTAAAAACTGAGATAATAACATAAATTTATACCCACAGGGATATTTGCAAGATTAATTACATAGGCTGAGATCCAACAAAGCACTTAAGTTTAAATGAGTCTTCAAGTATATGAATAGTTCTATTGAAAGCCATATTATTCCTATTCTTGAAGAATTTTCCTGGATTAATACTTTAATGCCTGTGCAGTGTTCTGAGAAAGTAACAGATTGTTAAAATGCTTAGAAATACAAACATAAATACCAAATGTACTACTTAAGGATTGACCTCTATTTATATTTTTTTCTTGTTTAATCTGAGACTCTCTCTCATGGTTTCTTTGTGATAAGCCAAACAAAATTGGTTATGCTGCTGTTTTTATTTCATAAAAGTGAGTTTGTATTTATATTCAGGTAAAAGCCAGTAGAAGGAATGGCTTTCAGTGAATGAACTTGTAATTATAAGAAAATAAAATTGTCTGATGTACCTAAGATCAGATTCATTAAGTTATCTAAAACAGACAACACACTACATAAATAGCCACATGGTGTGTCTAAGCCATGTGTCTGTTTCATATTTCTGTTCTGTGAAATTCAGGTACCTACATACCTAATAATAGTTTTTTGTCTGTTTGTGTTTAAATCAGTCACTTCTGTTCTTTTGAAAAAAATACTGCTCAATGAGATAGCTGTTGAGGGGATCCAGGGAAACCTACACTGTAATTACCAGCTATGTATATATTTGCCTTGCATCTTCAACATATTTCTTCATTGTTTATTTGAAGTTGAAGCTTAACTACACTTCAGTCTGGTCTTAGCAATGACCAAGCGTTATCCAAAACAAGGTGGTAAACAGAAACCAGTAATCAAGGCTCTTAATTTTGCCTTGAGGGATAGTTGACAATTAGACCTTGTGGGGTCAGCAGTATTTTTACCACATTGTATCCCGTTGTCAGTGAATTTTTATTCTAGTTCATCATTACTTTACTGAATTTGTTTATGTCCATGGTGGTGACTCTTTCTATTATAAAAAGTAAAACTGTCAGAGGAAAAATGCTTTATTCACTAATTTTGTGAAGACATCATGTAAGTAACATTGTTTTATGTTAATTCTTAAGATTTGCTTGGGACGCTCCAAGAAATTCTTCCTAACCTCCAAAAAGATGTTAGCGTTTGGATAATGACCAAAGACACCACTTTTCCAAGTGTGCATACCCTTTTAGACAAAATAGAGGCTGTGTCTGAAGACCCTGTTCCAGTTAGTCGACGCTCTGCCAACAACCTCAAGTCATCTGTTTTATATATATTTACTTCAGGAACAACAGGTACAAATCTGCTAAAGAGTCTATATTTTCCTTAATTTTTCATCTAGAAACTTGAATTTCTGAAACTCTAGTATTTTGGTTCATTTTTTCATAGTAGAATAACATATTACATAGAAGCAGTATGGTAGAAAATATGCATGTTTCTTGTCAGTGACTGTCTATATTCAGTGGTTTATGGGCTTCTCTTGCTTTTTTTCCTGCCACATTGTGCAAATACCGTGAGAAGCTTTACCTCTTACTACCTCACAGCTAAGGTGTTTATAAAACATTTTGCTTTTCTGGTGGGTTTACAATTATAATAAATATTATTTTATGATCACACACCACTGCCTAGCTAATAAAGCTAACATTGTATCTAGAACTTTAAAAAACAATCTTCAAGTGAATAAGACATTTTGGTTTTCTTCATTAAGTCATGTTCTATGCAGGTCACTGTAGAGACAGAAAATAAGATTAAGTTACTAGCCTTCTATTTTAGAAACAGATGGCTGAATTTCTTACTAGTGCTCCAGCAGCTAAGAAGCTAAGACTGTAAAAAACCTGATTGCTGATATGAAAAGCAGCATGATGTTGTTAAAATATGCAGATTGACATTCACATTTAACTGAATACAACAGTTTTAGTCACAGAAGATAAAAAATGAAGATTGACTTTATGGCTTTGTTCCTTCATACAAATAATTATTTAATTTATTTGCTTCAGGCTTTAGGGAAAAAATGAGGAAATACAAATGTCAAATGAGGATAAAAATATTAGGAAGGTAAAAATACTGCCAAGTATTTTTCAGGTATGTTTGTAGTACTACTAATATAAATATGATTGAGCTTACTGGTTAAAAGTAAGGAGTTTTAGCTAAAAAATACAGAATTCTCCATGTGGGAGGATTTTGTTCTTACATTCAGAAAATATCTGTGTGAAGTCTCAAATTTTATTTATGCAGACTTTAAAATATTTGAGACTGCTTTTATGTACTACATTAATTTACACTGGATTTCTTTTATATACCATGTAACTAAAAGAATAAGATTTGTTTAGTCTGAAGAGTATGGAGTAACTAATTCTAATCTAAAGTAACTGAGTATTTTCATACTTTTTGATAAAGCAAGACCATAGTGTTGCTCCGAAAATCAATGACTGGTAGTTAAAAGAAAGAAGTATCTTGCACAGTCTGTAGTCAGCTGTCTGTAAAGGCAGAAGGAAAAAACTCTGTGGAGAACTTCTTGTTATAAGTAGTTCATTGGCAACATAGGCTTTTATTGCTTTTTTTCTTTAGTGTGATGGATTTTGGAATAGCTTTGAAGTGTAGCTAGAACCTCCATAGATTACACTTCCAGTTAACAGCTGTAGTTAAGTCTTCAAATGAATGGTAGCTTTGCTAGAATATATGAGAAAATTTGCTGAACTGTTAAATTTTGAATGGACTTGACATCAGATTAAGTAAGTAACAGATGAGGTTATAAACTGGTTTATGTATCTTTATATGTACAGAACAAACATGCAATGCTGTATTAAACAGCCAGTTGTCTATTAATGGCCATCAAAACAGATGGCTGCAAATTTGGTTACAGAAGAAAGAATTGATTCTTTTATGATTTTAGAGACCTTACACAGGAAAAAAGAATGAGTTATCCTTAAGAGAAGTTTTATATATGGTTTTGTGTTTTCATTACAGGTCTTCCAAAGGCTGCAGTCATCAGTCACATGCAGGTTCTTAAAGGTGCTGCTGGACTGTGGGCATTTGGCGCTACTGCAGAAGACATAATTTATATTACTCTGCCTCTTTATCACAGTGCAGCATCTCTTCTTGGCATTGGTGGATGCATTGAATTGGGTAAGGCTTACTTCATTTAATTGTGCTGTTAATAGCGAATTAATGATTATAAAAATGTATAGGTTCACTGACATTAGGGAAACTAATGCTTTGCTGAAATCAGATGAATAGTCTTGAGAACAGCTTTATATTTCTGTATTTTACAGACAGTGGAGAGTTGTAATATCAAAGGATCTCTTACAAGCTATCTTTGTGGTACTGGAGAAGGATTAATTACAGCCATTTGTGGCATAGGTGTTTTTATTTTCTTTTAAATTTAGGTAAAAAGGGATTTAAGGACATGTAATATTTTGTCTGTGTGTGTAGTGCAGTAGTATATGTACAGACTAAGCATTTTACTGTTCTATAGAACTAAAATGCATTTTGGTGAACTTGGAAAGACTGACAAACACATTTGTAGTAAGCATTCAGCTTTGTCATATATCATCAGATGATATATAACCTTTTTCCCATTTTAATTTTTGTACTGTTTTGGCATGGACAGTAAAATACATATATTACTGAGGCAATGTAGGTGTCCTCAATAATGCTTATAAAAGATTTATTTTGAACTTGATGGCAAGTATTTCCTGTTTCCAGAAGCATCAAGGACAAGTCAGAGCAAGGGAAAGATCATTGGATTATGTATTAATTCTCTCTGAATCTGTATTGATGAATGCTTTCTTTGTGAAAAATGATGTTTCAGTGATACACAAATGATTTTCTAATTCAGGCTGACTTTTCTAGATATTTTCATTTAACTCTTTTGAATAATGTTACAACACCAACAAAGAGAAGCTGTCTTCTTGCTTATAACCTCTTGTCTATTGGTTTACCGTCTCACCAAGGAGGAGGCTGGGTTCATCTTCCTTCTTTGCCTACCAGGTTTGAACGCACGTCTTCTAATAAAATAGCTTAAATATCATACAGTTCTTTGAAAAAGGCTGTTCTTAGTTCCTCTTATGTTCTGTTTTGTAGAAACAGAGATGATAGCTAGGTAAGCTGCCAGATAGAGAAAATGCTTCATTTCCTTTTCTACTGTTTCCCTAAAGGTGCAACTTGTGTGTTAAAAAAGAAGTTCTCAGCTAGTCAGTTTTGGAGTGACTGCAAAAAGTACAATGTGACTGTCATCCAGTACATTGGAGAACTTTGCCGTTACCTTTGCAGCCAGCCACTGGTAAGTGGAATCAAATTGATGGCTATCTGTCTGTAAGTAATAGTCACATTTATTGGTCTTAATGCGGCTATGTTAAAAGGGAGATAAAACTGCACTGAACCTGTCCCTCTACTCTTCATATATGTGAGGTTCTTCAAATATTTGGTGATCTATATACTGTAAAAAAAAAACCAAAATTGCTTGAATCAGGAACATGTTAAAGTATTAAAAGATTTTGAGACTAAAAACTGATTCAGGATCATTTGGTGAAAAAATATTATTTCACAGAGTTTCACAGTGTGAGTTCAGAAAACCAGGATTACTGTTCAATGACTTTTCAGAATTTTTAAAACTTTGCTTCTTGTCATATATCTTGTCAGTATATCAGAGGTCTCAAGTTTTGTAGGCCATTTTTAGCACTGTTTTGGCTTGGGGAATGTACTAATTTTGAGATCATCTAAACTATGCTTTAAAATTTTGAAGTGGTATGGTCTAGGTTAGCAGTCTAGGTTATGCCTTTTGTTGCAATTAGAGAGCTATTCCAGACAATAAAGCTAGTTCTGTTAAAGTGACATTCCTCTCTGGAAGTGTGTTAACCCTAACGTGAAAATACTTCTTTTCCTCTGTCAGTCAGTGATGTGCTAGTCTATCAATATGGTATCAAGTACAAAGTATCCTGAACCTGTTTTAATCACCAAGTATAGCTGACTTAGGTTAACTGAATTAACTCTTGATCTATTTGCTGTTATGTTTAAGTATCAACCCATTGATGATAGAGAAAGCCCAAGATGTTTAGGCTAAGCTAAATGCCTTAAATTTGTTGGAATTAATTCAAGATGTATAGAATAATATTGATGGAACGGATCTAACCTGTTGCATAGCAAACTCAACTGACTTTCCTCAAATGCTTGTGCTAAATGTTTCACAATGAATATGAAACAAATATTCATAGTCAAGTATAAACTAAAATTCATCTTGCTAATGCTGGTAGCTTCCATCCATTTATGACCTGCAGGTTGTCCTATTGTATTTCAATAATAAATCCTAAATGTTGCATTGGACATTTTCTTACCTGGTTAAGCATTTTATTAAATTACTTTACACAGTTACTTATGATCATAAAGAGCTTTTATTTTGAATACTAAATAAAAATATATAACAGCTTCCAAGTACCTGTATAACATTAAGCAAAAAGAACTGTATCCCCTTTTAATTTAACTAAATGTTTAGGATAACACAAAGAGATTTGTGAAAATGTACAGAATTTGGATACAATGCAACTGTTATCTCATTGAACATTCTCCCTTTGCCTCTATCATAATTTCATTTAGTGATTTCAAAAAAAATAATAAATGATTTATTTCCATTTCAGTGAATTTTATTGAAATTACTAATCTCTTAGGAAATCATGCCAATAATTCAAATTAATTAAACTGAAAACCCTTTTCTGATCCAAATCCTTATTTTATGATTTTCCAGAATAACCTCATGCTTAATCAGTGTTCTAATAATTCAAAGAGAATGCAAATCAGTCTTGTTTTCTAGCAAAATAACAATTTACATTAGTATCTCAAGTTGCTGACCAAAGAATTGGAAAGCTCACTGTACATAAGACATCGGATTTTTTTTTTTTCTTTAAAATTTTCAGCAGTATGTTTAAGTAATGTAATGGTGGGTCATAGATCCTAGAGCACTATCCGTGCATGCTTCAGCAAAGAGAATATTCTTGAATTAAAAATGGCATGGCTGATGTCCCAGTGACCACTACTGGCTATAATATGAAACTAGAATTGTGATATCTTTCTCTTTCTGTTTTTTTTTGTTTGGTTGGTTTGGTTTGGGGTTTTGTTTTTTTTTTTTTTTTTTTTTTGTGCATCTGGGGTTTTTATTACTATTTTTAGTTGTTTGGTTTTTAACTTTATAATAAACAAAATGTTATAATGACAAATCGAGTTAAAGATCATAAGGAAAATCAAAACATATGAAGGGCCTAGATTTTATAAACTGTGATTTTTCTTCATTGTAGGGTAACATGATTTCCCCAAAGTCATCTCCCTTCTCTCCAGCACTTCACCACATTAGCTGTGTCTGCAGCCTGAGATATTAGTTGTTCCCCTTTCCTGTGATTTAAATGTACAGTTAGAGCATGGGATTTTGTTTGACCCATTTTATCTTGTTAAGTATCTTAAAGCAAGAATAATAGATTAATATACTTAATTTTCCCAAACAAACTCTCATTTTAAATTGTTACCAAGCCATTTTAAAGGAGTTTTAAATTTTACAAATAAAGTTATTTATGCAACCATTAACTATTTTATGTTATTTACTATATTCATACCATCATTAACTATTCATTAATTATAGAAATATTCTATTTTTTTTTATGTGCATACTTTCTAGGAGCTGGCATGTCTAAACTCTGCTTTGTGAGGATGTGGGGTTTTTTTTTTGCTTTGTTTTGTTTTTTTTTTTTTTTTTGCTAGCTAGCTAAAGAGAAACCTGATGTACCTTATCAAGAAAATTTAAAATTATAAAATGAACCAGTTTGGTAGCTAGGTACTTGAAGAAAAATAGTAAGTATTTGTTGTGTTAAAACTGGAAGAGATACTTGTTCACACAAATAAGTGGAAGGATTTTAAATATGCTATGCAATCCATTATTATCTTTCAAGTACATGAAATAATTTGCCAAATGTTATCTCTCTGTAAGTTTCATTAATTTAGATGTACTATATATATTGACAGCATGAGAAAGATATGGCTAATACAAGTTTTCAAGCTGTGTGAAGATATTATATGGCCAGTGTTCTCAAGGTTAGAGTATTATAAAGCCCTTCTAATTAACACAGATTTCAAGTGCTTCGTTTCTTTAACACTAAACTTGAAATAAATGGTGTATTTCTGATAGTTGTAGGCCACAGTGTGGACTCTTATTTCATATTTTTGAGCAGAACTTTTGTCAAGTCTCTGTGCTAGCATATAGACTCTTGGTTTAGCTTTCCTTATTAGTTTTGTCTTGTTTGATCTTTCTGCCTCCCACTCACATCTGCAAAGCTCTTGAAGACTTTTGCAGGAGAATTTTTCTGAAACCTGTTCTGCATCCAGTTTAGTTTTGTAACCTGTTGTCTGGAAAAAACATCAATTAGACAAGGAAGTTGTCTTTTTTTCTTTAAGTACAAGTACAAAGACCTTACATTATGTGATCATGGATTTTGCTGAGCTCTTAAGTAAGTAATCGTTACTCCTGCTCTCTTCCAAGCTCTTTTTCTGCAGTCTTTTTATCGTAATGAAAGTATAAGAGCCAGCACTGATGGCTAGTAGCCATCAGAAGCTACAAAATGTATTCTGCTCTAAAATATTAGCATGACTACTTCAGTGAAATAGAATATTCAGCAAATTAATAACTTCATCTTGATGGCTGATGTTGCTCAAAGTCTCTATTAACAGTGATCTACAAAATTTCAGAAGTATGGCATAGTATAGCTCCCTATATCCTCTCTAAGCAATGGCCTTGGAAATAGTTCTCTATTAATCTGTGGATATATTTTCCTTGGGAGGGGTGCAACACATTTAAAATTTAACATTTAAAGTGTATACAAAATCTTCCTAATGCACTTGCAGATTTATTTCAAATTTGAAGTAATGAGCTATTTAAATAATACATTGTGTCCTGAAACTTTTGGAAACATATGAATGGTAATGCAGCATCTCTTTCCTGCTTTGCTGTAAAGGGGACCTGAATCCTGAAGTAGTTTTCAGAGGCTAGAAATCAGTTTCCTTGGTCATTATGTCCTGTCTTCTACTTGCATAAGCTGTCATATATTATGACATTAATTGTATGATTTATGATACCTTGCATGAACTTGGTAAGCTCTCTATTAAAACCAGAGTTCACTTCTACTTGTATTCAAAGTCTGTTTCACAATTAATTATATCATTGCTTAGAAATTGTCTTTCAATATCTGTTTTGTTTTATGTTCATTTAATATTGAGCTAATGTTATCCTTTGGCATCAGTAACATTGCCTACTTCCTCGGGGTTACCTCAACTGTATAAAACCATGTATATCAGCTTTCCAACTTTATTTTGTTAAGCTGATGCAAACCAATCTCTTTACTAGATCCAGTATGGTCAAAGTTTCTTTGGATGGGATTAAGCTCTCTGAAGTGACTTTAGAACAGATGCTTAAGGGTTTATTTTATTGAAACTCTTCGGTGTTAGAAGAATAATAATTTAGAAGGAGAAAACAAGGAAGTCAGTGTTGCTGGGATAAGCAAACAGAATGAATGCTTATTTTCCTGCTGTTGACTCAAGTGTCATATGAACGGGTGTGAGAATGGGGTTTATATATGTTGGATAGCACTGTCTCCCACCTAGAAACAGATTTCTTTGAAGGAAGGAAATTTGATAGGTAAGGAAGGAAAAATGAGTCAGCAGGCTACAATGCAGGTTTTACTTGATGTCACACTTTATTCCCCATTAAATTTTAGCTCAGTTTATGTTCAGTACTGGAAATTGTTCTTTCTCTTAACATGAAAATGTGGAGTGGAAATCTGCCAAGCCCTTTTCAGGTTTCCAACATAAATATTTTATGAAATACCCCAAACCAATAATGTGTCACAGTTAGAGACAACCACATCTGTACCTTCCATTTGAAGTCTCTCAATAATCTTTATATGTCATTACAGTTGTATTTACTGGGGGGAATTTTGCAAGTTATTTATTTTTCTAGTAACTTCTGTTTGTTAAAAAAAAAACAAAAACCAAAAAACTGCAATCGCTTGCATATGTTGTAAGCAGATGTCATTCTTAATCCAAGTTGTTACTGATTTACTACAGTATTAACAGTGCCTAAAGGAAGAATTGAACACTGTTTGTACATGAAGGTAGAGAAAATAGAATTTTTAGACTAAGAACTTAGTCAGCACATCTGAAGTGAACCTTAGGGATGGACCTGGGATTTGGAAGCTTTTATTTTCTCTCTCCAGACTATATCAGTTGATCTAATAAAAAATTTACTGT